TTTTTTTGAAAAATCCCACTATCATTAGACTTATGCTAAATCTCAGTAATCTCTTATTCTCAATAAACATTTGACCGGAACACTTGAAGATTTTCAACTTTCATGACTTTCATTAAATAGCTAAACGTTTTTAAACATGTAAGCCAAATTGATATTTTACTTAACTTTCATAATATTATGAAGTTGGAGCCAATCAGGTGGAAGCCTTGGACCTAGATTTTGTACTAAATGAGACTCATTATTTAGACAAATCAATAGCACGAAACAAAATTGGGATGTTACATTCCTTAGTTTGAATACAAACTTTACGCTTAAGTTAGTTTCTCTAAAGAATTGAAACAATATTAATCTAGGATTATTTGAAACACTTGATAATGGTGATCAATGATAGATAACGTTTGTTCCATTATTTTCAACTTCGCAACTCTCAGGTTATAAGACTGAATGAGCTAATCATGGAAGTCCCACTTCGGTTGATAAATATTTTGTTTGTGTACTAATTAAATGACCGTCATAGATCGTCATATGTTTGAAACCAGAAATCAATTTCAAGTGATAAGAAGGTTTATTATTACATCCCTTTCTTAGTGTTTCATATCACACAGATCATAACCCTATTAATAGATACTAAGTATCTTGTTTTATAATCTCCATTAAGAGAAATCAGTATAAACTCATATTCGAATTTCGCTGCATCGTTATACAATAGTCTTAGACAGAAATCATAGATCTAAATTAACTTACGTTTGATTGATGACAGAAATCTGTTGCAAGAAGAATTTGCCATGTAATCTTTCGAATTTTCCCTTTATCTAACCTGAATATTAAACGAAAATGGCGTTTTAAAGAAAATATCATGTATTGTTTATCTAATTAAATTCAATTTTCACTATAAATGTTTTGTATATTTAGAAACGGTCCAAGTAATTGTGCGAGACCAGGACTCAAAGACCATAGGTTCGATTTCAGACAAGGTCGGTTTCATAAACTATTCTGTTTTTCAGTTTAGACGGAGTTACACATGTAGCATGATAAACAGAAACATATGTTGAAGCTTATGCACATATATGGAAAATTTGCACAGATGAAAGGCAATGACTAACCGTATATATGAATACATGCAGTAAAATCAATAACATTGAAACGATACGATATTCTTCATTTGCCAATTTACACAAGAGCCTGTCTCCACCTGTTACATCAGTTCGAGATATCATTGTAAAATCGACTAAGTGATTATTATGTCAAAAGTGTAGAATAGGTTGTTATAGAATACCAGTGTGATAGAAAAACGTAGAAATTGAGCTGATTTGTGTTAACATTTATGGCTTACACTCGAAATTAAAAGCAATGTCTTGAAATGACGAGTATGTTAACCGGACTCAATACATTATGTCGGAGTTCCACACCAGTTTTGTTCATACTGTCGACTAGATATGCAAGTATAAAGTATACGTCACAAATTTATTACGCATGAAGTTTGTTTCTACTGTTTGTCTTATGTAAATTTCATTCTTTTAGGAAGCATGTGTTTTGTGGGACTTGCAAATATGCTTGCTGAAAAGTTGTAATAAACTATAACATTCTCGGTAGCTAACTTCGAACATAAACTTACAAGAACTAGTTTCTTAGTAAATATTTATCATGATAAATGATTTGTTCCTACGATGAGTTTTAAGTTTACTAAAGTAAAATTCACTCTACAGGATTATCAAATTATTTCAAGATTTCAGATAGATCCTGCTGTTAAGTTTTAAGTAGCATGAACTGACGTCTTGTAATTCCTTGGGACTATACAAACTATCTGATGTCAAACATGAGTTGTCGAGTAAACCAAGTTAATAGCAACAAATTAAAAACCAAACTAATATGACACTTCTACTCAATGATCAATTTTATCCAAAGAATATCTCTAACATCAGTACTGACTCTGTTTCTCAAGGTAACATTTTCATTTCATTTCTTTTTTCATTTCCACTCTACGGTATACCAATAAAATAATTTTCAGGCTGAATAAAAACATTTTTAATATCAGAAAGGGTTTTTTGTGGATATTATGGTAATTTCAATAGTTGAGATTATGAATCATTTGAAGCTAGACCATGGTAGATGTGTCGCACAATTTCGTGGATTAGCTGAAGTTAGTCATTAACATCGTTGGATACCGACCAGCTCAATAGTCTAGAGGTTAAGTGCTTGCGTACTAGACTGATAGGTCCTGGGTTCGAATTTCGCGAGGCGGGATCGTGGATTTGCACTGCTGAGAAGTCCAAAAATAGGACAAAACGGCCGTCCCGTGCTTCCAGGTTTTCCATGGTGGTCTAGCTTCGATTGACTCATGATCTCAACTGTTGAAAGAAATGTTTTCTTATTAATTTCCCTCTGTTTTTTTTTAAAAGAAATAATTCATGGTAACATAGTATCGTCAAATTTGTTTATTAGGGCTTTTATGGATGTTGATTTATTCTAATTAATTACGGCGGTATTTTGAATATTTTCATTACGATTAGTTAAAATTTAAATCATGTATACTTTATATTTGATTATTGCCATTTTTCCCCATTTTGTTATAATAATATGGGATTAAATTTTCAATAATCAATTATTCAAATTTTTTAAAAAATAATAAATCATAAATTCTTTTGATCAATCAATATTGACTGGATTTCATTTGAAATAATAGAAGAAATTTCTTGAATGTTATCTAATCTATAACTGAGAGAATTAAAGTAAATCTTTGTAAAAAAAAAAAGAAAGAAAAAAGCCTTATGTACTGATTGAGTGAGAATACCTCCCAATTACTTAATTATGATAGGTTCGATTATAAATCCATCACATGTTTCCCAATCTTGTGAAAATAATGTTAAAGTACAAGTACTTTTATTCTATTTAATTCACAGATGATTTTTGTTAACTCGATTGACGGAGTTTTATTGATTCGAGTTTTGTAAATCTTTGTTAACTAACAAAATAGACAAAACCGAACTTGTTTATTTCTGTAGCTAAGACGTTTTATAATCAAATATTATGGTGATGATATGATATGTTTATCTGGGTCTGTTGTAATGAGTGTAGGGCTTGGAACGGATTAATCCACACTAATTTCAGAGATATTATCAATAAATCTAACACGGTGAAAATCCAATCAGTTGAGCCGACAATATTAACTAAGGTAGTAAAAAACCCACAGGGAATATAAACGACACTAATCAATGAAACCATGAAATAAGTTAAAGTAATATTAAGATTCATGATAAGAGGAAGATGAAAAATGAAAAGAATCTTTGACCTTTGTCACCTATGATCTTCAATCAATGCTCATATTTCTCGACTACAGACGCAAACTAAAACATTTTCACTTCCTCAATTAACGGTTATTACCAACCAATGACTTCATGGACTAATGATGTATTTTGTTTGACTGCTATCGGTCATTTTTTAAACTACATTAATACTAACTACTGTTGAATGTCTTGGTAAGTGATTCATAATTTCATCAATTGACTCCTTATTTGAAAATAATTTTGAACAGCTTCATTACTCAGAATAATAAGCAACTTCGCGTGCGAGATTGATAGGTCCTGGGTTCGAATGTCGCGGGGGGGGTGAGTTCGTGGATGCGCACTGCTGAGGAATCCCAAAATAGGACGAAATGGCCGTCCAGTGCTTCCAGGTTTTCCATGGTGATCTAGCATCAATTGATTCATCATCTCAACCATTGAAATTACTATAATATCTGAACTTAGCTTATCTTGAGAATATTTTAACCGTGAAATAATTTTGAGTAAATACATAAATATTTATTGACGTTTTGTGTACACATGCCATATGTAGAACTAGAATGAATTACCAATTCACTGTCTGCTAAAGTTTGTTTATTCATTTTACAAAAATATACTAATATTTTAGTAAGTAAATTTTAAAACTGGCAGTTGTGAAACTGAATGCTTTTACTAAAAGAAGACTTGATGACAAAAGATTTGAAACTTTAGTAAATTTCAGGAATCAATAATTATCAATACATTTCAAGATTTATATATGAATAATATGCATCTTCCAATCGCTTATTAGTTATTACAATGGGCGTTTGTGGAGATTGTAATGATTTTAATAGTTGAATTCATCAGCCGATGTAATCTAGACTATCATTGAAAACCTGAAAGTATTGAACGGCAATTCTGTACTAGTATGGGACTCCTCAGCAGTGCACATCCACAATTCCACTCTATAGACTCGAACCCAGAACCTTCGGTCTCGCGCGTGAACGCCTTACCTGTGGGCCATTGAGCCGGCATCCAATGGTTTTAATGTCTAACTTCAATCGATCTATGATCTTGTGCAACCATTCATCCATTGCCTGGAGTAGTAATCTGTCTCTAGCCGATACGAATCGGATTCCACTGGTCACGAATTCTAGGTTTTCGATGGTGGTCTAGCTTATATCAACTCATAAATTCAACTACTTACTGGTTAAAAAAACTAGCTTTTTATACTAACATTTTGTTGCTTGAATAATTAATTACTTGAAGTTGTTTAAATTTACTAATATTCGCGTTGAGTTAGAGGATGGTATCTCTAGTCAACGAAACAATTTAGTAATTCGGAAAAATTGATCTAAGGTGAACTCAGTTCTTTATACACTGTCGTACACATTATTCCGTAAATACATGAATAAATACAAATTAAAGATGATATGTATAACATTAAATATCATTTCAGTGTTATTCAGGATGAAAAACTATCAGTTATACTTCATATGTTGTTATCACTAAAATGTTTATAATTGGTTTTACATTATTTTCATTCGATTTGTGGTTATCAATCTCCTTCATGAGTCATAAGTTAGAAATGATTGTTTGATTACATGTTTTATCTGATCATATATACATTACATTTGTAAATTTCACTTTCATATTTTACAAATTAAACAAGAAGAAGAAGAAGGAGTAAACTCACTTTCGTGGTCTTTGTTCCATTTCATTTAACAAAGAATTATCGATAAATTGAAATACCAAATTCAATCGTTTTTTCTTTCGAAATACTTCAATCAGATTAACTAAATTCGGATGCTTTAAACGCTACATGAATTATTTAAAAATAAAGTGTAAATTTAACGGAAATTAATTGTCATAAAAATTTAATTCGTTTTTTATTGTTCGTTTGAAACTTCCCATTGATGTTTAGGATTGTTAGTGATCACTCTCTTATTAGGCATATGTGTATACTGTGAGAATTGCCTCGATATCGCCTTAAGTCGAAAGCATTATAAACAAAGATGATTGGTGGCAATCAGTAGAATCCAGGCCACGCGTTTCGTTATAGTTGGGACTCGTCAGTTGGATGTACCTGTATCTCAGAGTTGACGTTCACTCTGGGGTTCGAACTCGTTGCTGTTCGCTTCAGACGCCATCATGTTATCCACTGATCTACTAAGTCCAGATTAGCACTGGTTTGTTGAATAGGGTTAACTTTTAATTCACTTTATATTGTTTATTTGGATCTTTCCATTGAGTTATGGAGTGAACATAAACTCTGAGATGCAGGTACATCCAACTGATAAGTCCCAGATAGGGCGAAACACGCATCCTGGATTCCACTGCTAGCCACCATCCATTTTGATTATAATGTCATTAAGATTGTGTAGTTTATTACATTATCAGAAGAAAATAAATATACGATCTACTGTAATCTTTATTAATTCTTCAACTTGACGAAAATTTAGTCAAATTTCACAGTTTCAAATGATTTTTTAGGCATAAAATTCCAATAACTAATGGATAATTAATGAATTTCTTGTAATAAGTATTTATACTTTAGATTTGTTTTAAAAAGGTGATCCTGTATGTAGGTACCAAACTCCACATACTTCTGATGGTGTCCAAAAGGACAATGAAAAGTCCAAGACTTATCCATCTAGCTCAGAGAATATCGCACTTTTTAAATCCTCATCATGAGTTGGGAAATTTTCCATCTCAGATAGCCCAGCACACAGTCATTCGTCAAAATAACCTATTGCTAACATTCACAGCTAATAAGTTAGTATTCGTCTTATGGAAATTCTTTGGGTAAAACGATATTGTAAAGACTAATGTTTATAGTTTGAGACGGAAACAAGAGGTGTATCAACAGTAATTGCTGAAACGATAAGCTTTAAAAGTTTAGGAATGAAAATGATTTAAAGCATAGTTGCCATTAGCTGGAACATTATTAATAAACAAAGGGTGATCACAATTAGATTAACCCAAAAGATGGCAACACGCCGTATGACACAAACATGCTGAGTGATATTTTCATTATAGAGTATTTTAATTTAGTTTTTCATGCTTGAAAGTTGTTTCGTGCGATTCCTGCCTTTGAATTTTGACATCTTTAATTTTTGTTAATCAACTACATGATTAGGAAAAGTTTATTACCGTTGAATACACTGAACAAGTTAGTGACGGTCTGAACTCAGTAGCTCCATGGATAATATGTTAAGCGTTCGGAGCAAAGTGTACTGGGGCTCGAGTTTCACTCGGAATACCAATACTGAAATACAGATTCATCCATCTGGTGATCCCCAAATAAGATAAAACGTGTGTTTATTATTTGATGCTAGCAGCGTACCAAATGTACGGAACTTTACAACTATATTGAAATAACCTTCAGTAATGGGTATGAAAATAAGTGAAATGAAATGCTACTATTCAAGTTAACAGTTATACAAGGTCATCAAATGCTTACACGTTACCGAACTACATAAACCTGTCTTTACTTATTTATAGTGAATGGTTTTATTCCAACATGAACAACGAATATATTGATTTCGTGCTGGATTTCTTCATGTTCACAGACATATAAACTCAATCAAATAAACATTCATTATGTTTTCGACACACTCATAGGTACAAGTTTGTTCTGACTCTACACGTAATTCAACTATCCATTATTGTTGGAATAATTTCACAAGCGTTCATCATCTCAAATTTTCTCATACAAAGGCATAAAACAATCAATTTGTATCTTTTTCGGCATTCTCGTTTAAGGTGAAGTTTCAGTTTCAAATAATTGACATGGTTGGTTATGCTAAATCAGGTAGTTAACTGAAACCTTAATAAAAAGATATATAACTGATTGCATACCATTATTATAAATCTTTCTTTAATTAACTCGCTACTGTTTTGTTGACAGTAAACTTCGTTAGATTTGATTTGAGTAAGTCTAACAGAAGTAATACTTCTCAGTTTTGAAAATATGTGTCACATATTCATATTATAATTTAATCTAGAAGCTCAAGTTACAATGTTGAAACCAATTAAGTTCTGAAAAACGATATGCTTGAACCATTCTTAACTGCAAATGAACTTATTATTCATAACAAATCGCGATGACTATTTGATAAAAGAAGTCTGTTACATGAACCAATATAATCGAATGGATATCTTGAATTAAGCATTTGTATTACTTGAATCTCATTATTAGAGTAATGTATTTTCATTACTGAATGGATAAATTTTCTTTATTGAATTTAAACTTATATTATCTATTATCTGAATTAATGATGTCACCAATGCGTTAAATCACTTTTGAAAAAATATTTAAATAATTTTCAATAAGTAAAATAGAAACTGACACAACTTACTTTGAGCATACGAATTTCTCTCATTGCAATTTTACGAATAACTGGATCATCTTCAGATGCTGTAAACTGTTTAATTGCCACTAGTTGTCCTGATTTAATATCACGACATTTAAATACTACACCATATGCTCCTTCACCAATCTTACATATTTTCTCATATTTCTTAAATAATAAATCATCATACTTTCTAATAGGTGAGAAGAAACAGATATGAATAATTGAACGTAACCAAGAAATAACAATAAACCGTTTGAAGAAAGAGAAAAGGACAAATCAATTATATGAATTACATAATAATGAAATAATAATATTTGATTAGCGAATGAAACTTATAAATTCATTCTCTAATATGACTAACATTTCAGTTATTTCTGTTATATAATGATGATCCAAAGTATCGTAAATATTGATTCAACATTGCCGTGACAACTGTACAATGATGGGTAATCCTATTCATCACTCATAAAAATTTTGAAATAATAACTAAGACGGTAACAACGAAGTATAATAAATTAATTATATTTTACAAATATGGTTATTTCTAATGTGCATAAATTATTGATTGGTTAAAAGATTTGCTTGTTCATGTTCCTTTGATTTGATCATTTGTAATATAATTGATAATGTATATTCTTTCATTATATAAAGTAACTACTATACAACACATGTGGCCAGTAACTGATGCATATCAGGAATCCATTTACTTAATCCTTTGTAGTCATTCTATATGCACAATATTCTTTTTTTATTAATACCTATCAACATTCGATATTCATATTGTAAACGGCTTATTATTAGGAGTGGGGAATTATTCCTTAAATTATTCAATTTATTTATATAATTTTAAAAAATTGTTAACAATCTTTTTCAATCAACGTTTAGTAAAAACTTAAGTGAGGTCAAAATCAGTTTTGTTTGTATAGAATACAATGAATCTGTTGTATCATATTATATTCTTCTAAATTAGTAACAAGTCAGTCAATTAAGTTGCCCTGGTACGGCTGAGAGTGGGGAGAGTCCGCTCTTCCTCTCGAAATGCTCTCACATGGCCATGCGTATATAGCCTCTGCCAAGAAAGTCCTACTCACTGCCTTCTCGCACCACGGGTGTTTTTACGAAAATGAGAGGACGAAAAGCGAATGTCCGGCGCTTTAACCGGATCCCAAACCAAATCAGTGGTGCACATGGGCTCCAGTATCCTGCGGGAACAAATGGCGTATGACCAATCGTTGGTCACCGGCTACAATGGAACTGCATCTCCTGACGATGCTCCACTGCCTTGTGGGTTAGACCTCAGATCGAAGGCTCGGGGAGTGGAGCCCCTAAAGAAAACCACTTGCTTCAGTTTGGGCACCCGGGCAGTATCACAGCCCCTCACACATATTGAATGAGATTTGCGTGGCGCATATGTATTTGGTGCCTCCTTGTACCAATATCTATGTGTTAAAATAATAAATAATAATAATCGAAAACTTATTAACCAACAAAATGCTATTCATTATTGAGTACTAAATTTTATTGGAAGAATGAAATCAAATCAATTTTCTTCTAAAAACAAAAATATTTCCATATTGTTTTAATGAATGATTTTAAAGATAATTATAGAATACTGAAAGTTAAGAATTGACTTATGTATTCAAGACTAATGAATGGTTAACTTCACTTTCATCTTTTATTTAATTACGATTACATTTTAGTAAGTTCAAGACAACATACTAATTAGTTAATTTAAATAAATCTTCGTTGTAATATGTTATTCCTTAATTTGGAATTACCCTTTCAATTTAGTGATATAAACTATAAAAAAACCTTTAGTGTTAATCTTATCTCAGAAATATCCTATTTGCTGATAGATAGTTCATTCCTTCTATTTTTCAATATGTTGATATTTTTAACTCATGAGCTAGTAATTAGTTGACGATAAATCAATGACGCCCCCCTATTACCTTAACGTATTTTACATATATTGCTATTCCTGCTTTGTTGATAATAATACAATGAAAATATAGAGTTCATTTGATTGTGCCCAGAATTTTTGGTTTCCTATATCCTTATCTTAGACCAGTATAAATGTCATATATACGTATATATACTCTTGTTTCTTTGATTTTCATTGTTTTTATCAGTTTCGAGTTTAATTTCATATTTTCTTACTAATTACATGATTTATAAGTGTTATTTCATTCACCTTGTCATGTTCACAAAATGTTTCCCCCAAGTCAATAAATCTAGAAGTTTTGACTGTGGAAATATGAAGATAATCATAAAGCATCATAGATATTATAAACTTTCTGAAATAATTACTTTTGTTAATGTTATTGTCAACATTTTCTGGAACTCAAAACAACTGTCAACCAACACCAAGGTCAGGATTTTCAATACAAATGTCAAGACACTACTACTATATGGAGAGAAAACTTGGAGAACAAACAAAGCCATCATCCACACGATACAAGTGTTTATTAACAGTTGTCTACGCAAAATACTTCAGATCGTTGGCCGGACACTATCAGCAACAACCTACTACGGGAGAGAACAAATCAGATCCCAGTGGAGGAAGAAATCAGGAAGAAGCGTTGGAAGTGGATAGGAAACCCATTACGGAAAGCACCCAAATGTGTCACAAGACAAGCCCTCACATGGAATCCTCAAGGTCAAAGGAAAAGAGGAATACCAAGGAACACATTGCGCCGGGAAATGGAGACAGACATGAGAAAAATGAACAAAAATTGGATAGAACTGGAAAGGAAGATTCAGGACAGAGTGGGTTGGGGAATGCTGGTCGGCAGCCTATGCTACATTGAGAGTAACAGGCGTAAGTTAGTAAGTAATTGTCCATATTTAAACATTAAATATTGAACAAACAACTCATTATCGGAATCAGAGTAAATTACATTTTCAAAGTTTAACATATTAATTATCAAAATTTACTTAGAGATATTCACTTAGAGTTTGTAGACAAGGGTGCTTTTTTCGGAATTAACAACAAGTATGGCAAGCTATTATGTAAAATTTTGAAGCATTTTCTACTATATGAAGTGGTATACAATGCATACGCCATAACTGAACAGTAATATCGAAAGGCAAGTTAATGATACATTAATTTATAATTAATACTATAAATGCTTAACGAAAGATTATAATAGATCAATTTTCTAGGATAGATAGAAAGAAGATATAGTTTATTCAAGTGTATACCTCATTAATATACCTTGTGTTTGAATGAGTCTGAGAAACTACCATGTTGTTCTAACCATAATGATGAAACTAGATATTAAATTCAAAATTTACTGGTGTAAAGGTGGACTTTCTAACTATTCAATAACCCTTTCAACTGGTGGTGACGTCAACGAATACAATATGATGAAGTAAGATATATTAAAAATATAATTATTCAAACATCAAAACCGATGACAGACTTATAAGAATAGATTCTTTACATTACAAATATTGAGAAAACAATTATTCGTTGCATAATATGCCAGGAGAATAACTAATTTGGTACAAATTAAGATCAAGTTGAAAAGAAAAAACAACTAAAATCCTTAATTCATAATCATACTTAAGACAGTAAATGCTCATAAAAAGTGATTGTAACACGTACAATGTATTATAAAGATATTAAACTAACGAATCTATTACAAAGGTATAAGCTGCCCATGATGAGCTGAATAGTTTCATTGTATACTCTTGAAGTAGTCTGATTAGTCGTTGTTAATGTTTTTTTTTCAAAACAATTATGAAAATATTCCAATTAAACGATTTAGTCTAATGAACTTAATCAGAACAAAAATGCATCTATATAATGATCTTTATAAAATATTGACTTACTTCTGTTGTACATGTTTATTAATTGCAATAGGTTGAACTGTGATTAATTTAATTCCATCTCCAGAATTATCTAATTTCTTTTCTCCATTCTGTACAAAATGTTCACAATTATCAGTATTTATGTGAGATTCTGTTTCTATAAAATAAATAAACAGATCATTCATTATATCAGTTTAATAATTTCCGGATACTTAATTCATTCGAAAATAAATCTTTATTATCACAGAACTGATTTCAATTAATGAACCATTAAAAACGAGCAAATCATGAACTAATGTTTTTTTTCCCTTTTACTAGTTCGATACGTTAGAATAATGTACAATTATAAGTATTATTACCGAGGTTTGATTTGATAATTTCCAATAAATTGAGCATTGCGTAGATTGTTATAAATAAATTAATAATACTTGTCATATCCCAATGACTTAGTGCAAGTCACGAAACGTCAGAAAATCTTATTTTTCTACTCATTGGGATATTACACATATATTATTTATTTATAATGTACAATTATGATTCATAATAGGATTTAAAATCAAGAATTTCTAAATTTCAAGGATGGATAAGAGGTAAACATACATATTACCCGTGATACACCACAATTATTACATAGTTCAATTTGATTAAATACAAATAAATTTCAATAGTTGAGATCATGAGACAATTGGAGCTAAACCATCATGGAAAACTTGAAAGTACTGAACGGCCATTTCATCCTATTGTGATACTCCTCTGTAGTGAGCATCTGATATCCCGCCTCGTGAGATTCGAAGCCAGCACTTATCAGTCTTGCGCACAAGCGCTTAACCTTTAAACTACTAAGCTGGCCGGTATTTAACGATGTTAATGTCTAACTTCAACTAATCCACAATATTGAGCAACATATCTAACATTGTCTTCAATGAGTTACTATCCCATAACAGAAACGGTTGAACTTCAGAGCTTCCAAGTTTTCCATAGTGGTCTAGCTTTAATTAACTCATGATTTCAACTATTGACATTACTATAATAACCACAAAAACTCTTCCTGATACAAAATAAATAAATAAATATTAAATTACCATCCGAAACAGTTGTAACAGTTTTTGTATCATCTTCTTGCATGTTATACAATATGACAATTTGTTAATATATTTATAAGCTACATATATATATAAACATTTATATAAATAGTGTGAATTTAAATATTCCTGTTTGAAATGTTATTTAGAATCTGTATATAGAAACTGAAAAGAACCTTCTTCTTTCTTCGAAAAGAATATTCTTTGTTGAAATGTAAATCTTTTTAATATATAGGGAATCGTTAGAATATTATTATCATTATTATTATTATTATTATTATTATTATTAGTAGTAGTAGTAGTAGTAAAATATGTTTATAATTAAGTAAAAATGTTTCAATATAAATCCTTTTGTTTTAATACTATTGTTAACTTGTCCCAATTAATAAAGATTATTTAAAAAATAAAATAAAATGAACTTTAACAGTTTTTATGACTTAAATGTATATGACTGTGTATTGTTCAAGAATAAATGATGAGATGTTAAAGAACCGGATTGTATATAGAATTTAAACATTAATTAATATAAAGACTATGTATACATATCTATCTATCTATCTATCTATCTATCTATCTATCATATATATATATATATATATATATATATACATCACTCTTTGTTCAATATGTAAATCTCTTCCATTTTTACTTATTACAACAGTATACTTTCCTTCATTTTTATGTTATTTCATTGAAGAACAAACAAACAAAAAAATATATATATATAAATAAGAAGGGATGGGCGGGTAAATAAAAATCATTGTAAATTATAATAATTCCTTTATTTCTAACCTAAAATTAATGACCAATAATATTTTGATTAGAATAGAGAATGAGAGACAGGTTGTCATGACCACGTAATTATTGAGTTTACTTTTTGAAAGGAATCTATACATGATTACACAGATTGCTAGACTACTTATAAATACACAATAACATAATATATATCTTATAAGATACAAGTAACGGGATAGAAGAATTTAGAAGGTGATAGGTTTAAGTTAGACAGATGTTCTAAAGTATAATTTATAGATTTCGATCAAAACTCACCAGTCTGATTTAATGTATACTACAATATCTGAATGGGTTTTGTGGAGATTTTTAGAAATTTCACTGATTGAAATCACGAGTCAATTGAAGCTAGATCACCATGGAAAACCTGGAAGAACTGGACGACTGTTTCGTCCTAGTATGGGACTCCTCGGCAGTGCATATCCACGATCCCGCCCCCCGCGAGATTCGAACCCAGGACCTATCAGTCTCGCTCCAGGCACCTAACCTAGCTTCAATCTAGCTTCAATCGACTCATGATTTCAATCAGTGAAATTTCTAAAATCTCCACCAAACCCCTTCTGATAATAATCATCTGCTCACTAGTGATTGACTTCAAGAGATACTCCTGGAGTTCTAATGAGAAGCCGTTACCAGTGGAGTACAACCAGGTCTGTTGTGAGATATCAGCTCACTGAAGACAATGGTATACGGTGGTGCAACTTCGTGGATTGGTTGAAGTTAGACATTAACACCATTGGATGCCGGCTCAGTGGTCTAGTCAGTTAAGCGCCTGGCGATAGACTGATAGGTTCTAGGTTCGAATCTCGCGTGGTGCGGGATCGTGTATGTGCGCTGCTGAGGAGTCGCATACTAGGACGAAACTGCCGTCCAGTGCTTCCAGGTTTCCCATGGTGATCTAGCTTCAATCGACTCATGATTTCAACCAGTATACTATAATAGTTTAGACCTTAGAATGAGTACAATATACACTTAAAATTTGTGTGTTATTTAAGAAGCGTTGTTGTTAACGTTAAAAGTATAAAAATGTAATTCTTGTGCCAGCTTTTCCTTAACTATATCGAGGAGCACCATCCTTTGTAATGAACTAAATGAGAGTGAAATATCACAGGGGCTCAATTAACAGTTACGTAAGTAAAGAGTTCTCACTGTACTAAGATCTCAATTTCAGTTTTAATTAGAACATAAAGTCACAAGAAAAGTTAAAAGAATTATAAGAAAGTCTTTAAATGTGCTCACCAGTAACTCGTGAAAAAATACATCTTCAGCACTTTACGAAGTGATCTTATATTGAGGTTTTAAACTGAAAAATCATCCACCTTGTGAAATTAAGCTGAAGATTTCTTAATCAGATATTCCGAGTTTCAACTTAATATTTACTTGACGATGTATTCACAGTTTGACACAAAAATTCACACAAGAGACGATCAAAACCAGCAGAAATCATGTGTCAACTTGAAGAAAATTTTAAATATATAGAAGTACCTGTAAAAATTCATCTTGACTCCATAACACTAACTGAAATCTCACCTTTATATTGATAAACGATAGCACAAATATAACTCGGCAAATCTGATTCCGTAATTGGATCAGAATCTAGAAAGGTGTTGTTTCAACGCATACAATTGAGATTTACCATCAACTGAATGGAAGCGCTTAATAAAAATTATTATTCCTTATAACGAAATGAAAGAGTTATTATCAGTCAGTTGCTTAGGTGATAAAAATTCCAGTCAGTAATTAAAAAGTCGTCGTTTCAAAATAACATCACAAAGAAAATTTAAATTCACAGTTTTCAGTTTTAATACCCCCAATAGTTTTATTGATATCAATGGGAATTCGATATTTATTGAAAGTACTGCAAAATTATAGACTAGAAATCGTATATGAAGTACGTGAAACTGAATGATTAGTAAATCCCTTTATCCAGAAACATGGATTAAGTGAACTAATCTCCCAATCAAAGTCCTGATATATACAATTGTGCGAAACCCGTAATGACTTAACAAGAATTATTGATCAATATGCTGACGATGACATAACTGGGAGATTATTCTCATTACAAACTGATGTCTACGAAAAATCTATCATAAAATCATATTATGTTTCACAATCGTTTGTTGCTATTCTGAAACATCTACGTTCATGATGAGTGACACCATAAAATTTAATAAATTGGAGAATTATTCGGAATAGAACTATGGAAATGCGAAAAGTTTACTTATTTATTTGATGACAAGTAGTTAACTCAGAATCATTCACAAATAAAGCAGGTTAAGTTGTTTTACGTTTACGTAAGTTATAGTAAAAATACTGACAAAAATCAATATGTTTGAAAAGAAACAAACATCATCCATAGCAATTAACATTATTGTTCTTTTTAAGACTATTTTATGCAATAAACTTCAATTTTTTATTTAATAACTTAACCACTTATTACTGTGTTATCATTTTGATTGAGATCATGAACCGATTGATGTTAAAGCACCATTGAAAACCTGGAAGTACTAAACGGCCATTTCGTCCCATTGTGGGACTCCTCAGCAGTGTTCGTCCACGATCCCGCCCTACGGGTTCTCAATCAAAAACATAATAATATTCACAATTCCTTACTAACTATGTTATCTGATGGAAGTGAATATTAACTTTTTAACCTTTGAGTTTATCTTCATACTTTAGATTGTAATCATTTTACGGAAAACGGAATATTCTTTTCATCATGTTTTCTTATGTTGGCTTGGTATTGCAATCGATCAGTATAGTTTTTTCTTCATGTAAGATTTATTAAATTTACTTTGTAATTAGTAACTTCTCTCTTTGCCATCAAAAACTTGATTTGAAAATACACATTTTCATTTATTTTTGGTAAACTTACTATTGTTTGTCTTATTTTGAGCAAAGAGTTTATTATATATATATATATATATATATATGTATATATATATATATATATATATATATATATATATATATAATTGGTTTTAGTTCAACGAAATTCCGGTAAACTACAAAGTTTACCGATTGACTTTTAACAGCTGAACTGAGAGTTTAAATCAATCGGCTTCCTTTGAATTTTACTCGGAATTCTATGAAACTTTAGCTTGGGTGCTGGATGACTGGAAATAGCTGATAAGTTATTGTAGAACCAGGTTTCATGCGAGGTGGCACTCATAAGTATGCCTTACCTTCAGTTTTAACGGATGTTCCTTTTGTGATTCAAAACTGTGTCATCCACCTTCATGGTTTGAAATGTTACTATTGATCTATTCCTGAATCTAGAGACCTCCTACAACATCGAGGTATCTAAAACTGATTGATCACTGTGTAGTAACCAATATCATGTTTGACTCAAACTATGGAACTAAGCAACTCAGGTTCAAATGCCATAAGAGACATCAATTACTTTAGGATTTCCTTTTCACAACATTCAAACGAAGTACAAGCTATGTTAAGTCACTGAGAGTAATTGCTACAGTGAAACTTGATAGAAAGCTTTTCATCATCACTATTGACTAGACATACATAATAGTGGACACTACTCAGTAAATAATTAACGCAAGTTTTAGTTACTATTTTTTTAAGATCAACAGAATATTCCAATTCTCGCAGAATGTGATCGATTGTTACAGTTAATAAAGCCATCAGAAATAATGTTTCAATTAATTCTATCTAACATATTATGCTGATTTTCACAGATATCTGTTACATAATCGATTATTTTATTCAATTTCCAACTAACAAGATATAACGAATATTACGCTGTTATAAGTTCATAATTGACATAGACTGTCAAGCTACTCACACTTTAAGCTCATTCAGTTGTCCACATGTATTTTGGTTTAGGAAAACAAACAGCTGTAGTGAAGGAGAACACAGGTGACGACAACTGAATTATATTTAGCACAGCATTACAGAGTTATTTGGTAAAATAGAAAAACCATACTATAATACTTAATTTGCAAAATGTTCAATTGTCTCGGACTTCATTGTTCTTACATTTCTATACTAATTGCTTTCTATTCCAGTTCTTCCTTTCTTGATCTTCCCAATCTTCTGCTGCCAGACATTACATTCCCGACTCGCGTTATATACTACTTATGTTAATATAAGTAGCACGCACCACACAGCTTTCATGTTTCAAACTAATCCAAGTTATTCTGGCATATTTTTAAGAATACAATTACACCTTATCCATCCACCAATATTACCACCAATCCTTTGATGAAAAATCATTTAGACATCACTTAAATAATCATGCCGTATTACTCTTTTTGTATACTTTAGAGACCAAAGAAACTCCAAAAGCAACTTTTTACATCAGATAGGACACTGTTATTGTTGTTTTGTCGTTTTCTTTTCTATAAAAAAAAACAAATTCATCACTATGGTTTCATAGTGTAAACCACTAATTAAAATATCTGATAACATAAATACTTCTTTATCATATTAACTGATGAGATTAATAACAATCCTTATTGA